ATACGTGCACGCGATGCAGGTCTCATCTCCCTTGAAAGAGTAGTCAGTGACGATCTTTAAATCTTGGTCTTTCTTAAGTTCAATCGACTTAAGTCCTTCGCGGAAGAACCCAGTACGGATCTCAGGTCCCTTTGTGTCAAGCAGCAAGCCTACCGTCTTGTTGGGGCGCATCTTCAGGGCTTCTTTGACTCGAGCCAAGCACGCTCCATGGCTCTCGTGGTCGCCGTGTGAAAAATTGAATCGACAAATGTCCATACCAGCATCCATCATCTCTACCAACATCTCAGGCTCCCAGCAGGCAGGCCCAAGCGTACAGATGATTCGAGTGCGTCGCTGAGCCCGGTCGCCGTCTGAACGTTTGGCGAACACGTCATCGAGAGTAATTCGTTGAGCCTTGTTCAAGTACTTGTTAATGGCGACGTGTTCGTTGCTATTCATCCTAAAAATTGCTGGCGACGGGACGGGACAAGTAATCAACAAGCTCAACAAGTTTCTGGTGTCAACAATTCCTTCCCTTTTTAACGTAGCGGCTGCGCGTCCTCTTCGCACACGTTCTGAAAATGGGTCCTTTTCGTCGGGTTCGGAACCCTGAGTCTAGACTCCACGTGGATATTGGTGATCACCCCGGGTGGGAGCATGCGCGGGCTAACAGTTACGTATGCCAAACGTTACGGAACGGAGTTCTGGTTTTTTGAAGGTTTGTAGCTAAGCAAAGTAACAGCTGTATCCACACTCCCAACCCAAGTTGCTGGATGGCTTGAGATTCAGTTGAGTATCGCCGCACGACCGAGGTTCCCTGCGTCTGAGCTGATGGACAGGTTAGAGGGAAACGTATGGGTTTCGCGAACAAGCAGCCTTGGTTCGAAGCCGATGTTACCAGAGATACGATGGCTGGGTCATAGAAGCACAGTCTAGGCAGCTGGATCTGCTGAACGTGGCCAAGCAGCTCGACCTGCTGAACGTGGCCAAAAACCAAAATCGAGAACGTCATGTCCGACGTTGGGCCCTCATTCGCACGCTCTTGAGCAAAGCTGTGTGCTTGTTCATTCGTTCGTTCGTTCGTTTAGAAAACTGCTTTTTAGAAAAGTGATCGCCCTTGCGGAACCTTCTTATCCAAGCCCGCACCATATGGCGTTTCGGCAGATGGGACATTACTGTGTCAGTTCAGTTCATGCAAGGAGGAGTCTGAAGGCTGGGACATTGTCTCGCGCGATCGTAAGTGTTGTATCGCTCTCTTCACGTCAGCAATGCTGGCTGATACTCCAACCTTACACCCTTGGTGAGGCACGCAATACCCATCTCTTCTTCTCCCGCTTATCTTGATGTGAATAGTCAGTCGTCCACTAAGTCTCAAGGTTGGTCCTCTAAAAGCCTTATGTCCCATACCTTAATACCCACGGAGACGGTACCCACGAAGACGGTACCCACGGAGACGGTACCCACGGAGACCGCCTCATCCGTCCTCAACTACACCGCGGCAACCCAAGGCAGCCGCTGCGTCGAACTGTGACCACAAGTCCTCCCTCCGCCGACGCGCTGGCCCTGGATCAACGTTGATGACGTCGAAATGGTGATTCAGAACATGAGTTGGCTATGTTGAGATTACCGCCGTAGGCTATGTTGCGATGCAACGTGTCACAGGAGCACGATGGTAGCATCGTGATCAAGGCAACGATGAATAGCTGCAAGCAGCTCGCCTGGCGGCGATTCGCCGCGGTATGGCTGGCGCAAACGTGGCTTGGATAGAGGTGGGCGGCGCTAGCGAGGAGAGACTTGCACCAACTAGGACCTGAAGTTCGAGCACCAACGACGATTATAGGACTCTCAGGCACTGCATTGAGGCCCATTTCTGACCGATCGCACGAGGATGTCACGTCACCGAATTCCAAAGCACAGTGATTTTGGATAACAACATTTTACCTACCAGAGGGTACGACATAGACTGGCAGGCCCAAGAGTCCCTCGAGGGGGACCAAGCGGATGTGAAGCGGAAGATTATGACCCGGTAACGGAGGCCACCTCGAACTGCAGCTTTGTGGTTTACCACGCGGCACGGCACGGCCGGCGGAACGGAGTTGCGTATTTTTTGGGAAAGCTTTATTTCGATGAAGACAGTGGCGGCCTGGGCGAGTGGCGGAAGAGCGGGGATGTTGGCGTCATTGCTCACTCCGGAAGGCACGGTAAGGGGTTTAACAGAAGACTGCACAGCGCAGATGGTGGAAATCGGAGTGGCTGGCGAGGAACCACCAGTTTGCGCCGTGGTGTTATTGCCCTCGAGTGAGTTGTGGAAGTTATCCGCCAGAACTAATAAGATGATCAACGAAGGAGTCAAATTGGCGAGAGCTTTTTCCCCTTTCGACTTGGTGCACGATGCCACCAAGTTTCGGCTTCTTGGGACTGGTGAGCCGAGGACGAAACTTGTTGAGTCCGCCGTACTCAGAGTCATTGAAGAACATATTCAGGAAACACGCGCGCGACAGAAGGATGCAACGGCCGCAGATGAATTATGTCTTGAAGCTTTCGGCGGAGCCAACACTCCGTATGCCCTGGCCAAGTTGCGCCGGGCCAAGTGGGCCGCGTCGGCCAGGGGCGACAAGCCTATGGTCCTGTCCAATCGCCCACTGACCGAAGAAGAGCTGCCCCATCTGTTGCCGCGCCTGCCGAAGACTTGGGAGTCGGTGGTTCGGGCCGCGGCCCGCCCAAAAAACCGGCTGGGGAACGTAACGGACCCGGAGTGTCCCGCTTGCATATAGTACCCCATAAAAGGACCCCCATAAAAGGACCCCCATAAAAGGACCTGTTCATCCAGGCGGTGGGGGGGGGAGACCCAAAGCTGGTTGGGAGTAGCGCAACACACGCTCAAGACAACCAACATTTTTTTGCCAACCGAACGACCTGACAAATGTCGACATTTGTCAGGTCGAAGAAGAACAGAATACCCCAAAACACGGTACCGAGCACGTGTGTGGTTCAAAGAATTACGGGCACAGCAATAGGTATAGACCGTACCCGTCCTCTATGTGGGTACGGTCTATACGTTTGCTTGCGCCATCCCGTCCTCATAATATGTTGGCGACGGCGGCGTCGTTTGTCAGGTTTGTTGTTGGGCCGCTTGTCGGTGGAGCGGGCGACACTTGGTCGACGTTCTGGTGCCTGGGGGCTGCTCGACGGTGTCGTTTCCGAGCCAGACCTGGCTTCGGTGCGCACCTTGTCTCGTACGTATGTCTCTTCTCTTGGTTGACGCTATCACGTCACACTCACTTTCTCAAAACACTTGGACTAACACTGCACCCCATGCCGCCCGCCCCATGTCTGGCGGCGTAGAATTACCCCACCCACCCTGCCTAGACCAAAATTGACCCAATTGCTACGACGAGAACAATCAAAGCAATCGCGAATCAATCATTCACGGAAAAAGAATGCCACTCCAATCATGCAACAACGATCTTCATGAGGGAAGTGTTACCGGCACCCTCCTCCTTGACTCCATGAACGGCTACGACTGCATCGCCAGTAGAGGTGAAGCCACGAGCCTTCGCTGCCGCGACACCCTTAGCGATCAAGGCCTCGGTGTCCTTGAAATCATCGGCAAGAACGGGAATCACACCTCTAAGAGTGGTCGTCTGAGCACAAGTTATCGGACAACTGGACACTGCAATGATCATCTGGCGAGGCTTGAACTTGGCAAGCAGTCTCGCGGTATAACCAGTCTGAGTCAGAGCAACAATTACAGAAGCGTTCACGTCCTCAGCAGACTCCACCGCAGAAGCCGCAATAGCTTCTGACACTCCCACCGGTCCCTTAGCCATAACGGAAGAGTGGATAGCTTTATACAAGGCCTTGTAGTCAAGGCAAGACTCCGCTTCCAGGGCAGTGTTTGCCAACATCCGAAC